AACACAAAAATTAGCCAGGCATGGTGGCAGGCGCCTGTAATCCCAGCTACTCAGGAGGCTGAGACAGGAGTATTGCTTGAACCTAGGAGGTAGAGGTTGCAGTGAGCCGAGATTGTGCCACTGCACTCCAGCCTGGGCGACAGAGCAAAACTCCATCTCAGAAATAAAATAAAATAAAATTAGCCTGGCATGACAGCATGTGTGACTGTAGTCCCAGCTACTTGGGAGGCTACAGTGTGAGGATGACTTGAGTCTGGAAGGTTGAGGCTACAGTGAGTCATGATCATGTCACTGCACTCCAGCCTAGGTGTCAGAGTGAGACCCTATCTCAAAAATAAACAGCAACAGCAAAAAAAGCACATAGTACTTTTGTAATCAGAAAAAAGCAAGAGTTTCTATATTTTCCAGTTGATGTGTGAAAGGAAAACCCAGAGAAGTTTCATGTGCTGACCTAGAGGCAAACTTAACGCCAAAGCCAACTGCTTACTAGAAGTGCCCTTGCTAGCCGAATATCTCTTCAACCACATTGTAGGACTCCCTTCACTTTGTGATACTGAGAAATACAAGCCCTCAATCCTTTATTCATCATTCCAAAATCCATAAAGCTCTGAAAACCCAATTTTTTAAAAACTAAGTTTACCATAAGGTCATTAGGTATAAAATCTAAACTGATAAGAAGACGTTTACAGGCTTTGTGTATCTGATTTAGTGAGGATATTTATACATTTTGCTGAAATAATTGTGTTTGCTTAGGGGATGCTGTCTTCTGAAATATGAAAAACTGTGAATTTCAAAACACACCTGGCCCTGAGGGTTTTGGATACAGAGTTGTGGACCTGAATCTACAACTGCAGAAGTGTTAGATTAGTAAGTATTGCCTTTAAAAATGCAAACTCTCAGCCAGGTGCGGTGGCTCAGGCCTGTAATCCCAGCACTTTGGGAGGCTGAGGCGGTGGATTACCGGAGGTCGGGAGATCGAGACCAAGCCTGGCCAACATGGTGAAAGCCCGTCTCTACTAAAAATACAAAAAAATTGGCCGGGCGGTGGTGGTGGGCACCTGTAATCCCAGCTACTCAGGAGGCTGAGGCAGGAGAATCACTTGAACCTGGGAGGCAGAGGTTGCAGTGAGCCAAGATCACGCCATTGCACTCCAGCCTGGGCAACAAGAGCGAAACTCCGTCTCAAAAAAAAAAAAAAAAAAAAAATGCAAACTCTCCCTAAAGTGGAAGGGTAAAGGACTATCGGTCACTCACAACATGGTATAAATTTGTCCCCCTGCCTTCCTCCTAAAACCTAGCTGATATCAGCTACATGGAGAAAAAGGGACAGGGACCTAAGAAGTTTCTGGAACATGTAACATTTGGAGAAACAGAGTCTGTCTGGAGAGGTCCTGAGGAAAAGTGCCAGGGGACCTGGAGACCTAAGGAGAAGGATAGAGAATCTGAATTTAGAGAAAGACAAATCTCTGCCTAACTCAAACCAAGGCCCCAGAAAGAGACCAGAAGCTCTCTTCCTCCTCCCACCTGTCCTGCAAGCTCTGTTCCCAGAACCCAAAACTGAGGCCCCCTGCTATTAGTAAATTGGCACTTCAACTAAGATGCCAAATAAAAAGCTTTGTAGGTCAGACTAGTAACCCAACCACATTGCTTTTATGGGAAAATGAGTCCCACATTCCAAATAATCAACTTGGAAAAAATCTTTGGGAACATACAGCCCTTTTGTACGTGTGAGATAACCATTCTCTGCAAAGGGACAGCCTCCTCGGAGGTTGCACTGAGCCAAGATCACACTACTGCACTCCAGCCTGGGTAACAGAGTTAGATTCTGCCTCAAAAAAAAAGGGGGGGGTGGGGGGGACAGCACTCCTGACATTATTTAATAGGTATATTTCACAGGAAGAAAGCCTTCAGGCCAGTCCATATTTGGGAAAAGGCTACCTTACCAGGAAGCACTATAACAAATTACTGATGAAACAGACAGAAGTTGCCAGAACACACAATCCCAAATCAAAGAAACAAGCCTTCAAAGGCAGGACTATGATAAATGAGGTCACGCCCACAGTCTCTCCAGCCTCAGGTTATGTCTCTGACAAAGTTCCAAGGGACAGTGGATTCCCAACAACCTCACAGTATAAAATCAACATTCAGAATTTTAGAAATGTTCCTTTCTAAGCCCCCCAACAAAGACTATAATATACAGCATTATCATCGGCCATTTGAAACTGGTCTACATGTTCAACCTGTACAACTTTGAAACTTTGAAAAAGATAAGGGCAATCAGCATTTACTGATTGCCCACTATGTCCCATGCTTTGCACACATTTTCTTATAGAACACATACTACAATTCTATGAAGAAAGTATAGTAGTCTCATTTTAAGAAATAACAGGTTTTTTTCTTAGGAGAAAAAAAAAAGAAATTTTAAAAAAGAGAGAGGTAACTGAGGCTCACAGAGGCTGTGACTTGCCAGGCAGAGCCAGATATGTGTGACTCCAAAATCCAAAGTTTTCATCATTACACTGAGTTAAGAGGAACTTTCTTGGTCGGGCGCGGTGGCTCACGGCTGTAATCCCAGCACTCTGAGTGGCTGAGGCAGCGGATCACTTGAGGCCAGGAGTTTGAGACCAGCTTGGCCAACTTGGCGAAATCTCATCTCTATTAAAAATACAAAAAATTAGCCCGGCATGGTGGTGGACGCCTCAGCAACTCGGGAGGCTGAGGCACGAGAATCGCATGAACTCAGGAGGCGGAGGTTGCAGTGAGCTGAGATTGCACCACTGCACCCCGGCCTAGGTGACAAAGCGAAACTCTGTGTCAAAAAAAAACAAAACAAAAAAGAAGAAGTTCTTTCCAGCTGTTCCCAAAAGTTGTTTCAAATTTCAAAAAAGGACCATGTTCAGGGACCTGGCTCTTTCCAGCCATGGATAACCTCCCTGAGCCTTCCTCTCTTTCAGGACACAGGTTCTCTCTCCTCCCACTCTCCACCCCCATTCATCCTAAGGGACACATTCATCTCACTGATAACAGTGGTTGCCTTATATCTCCTCTCTCCTGATATCATTACTAGAACTTTTTTTTTGGGAGATGGAGTCTTGCTTGCTCTGTCGCCCAGGCTGGGGTCCAGTGGCTGGAGTGCAGTGGCGCAATCTCGGCTCACTGCAACCTCCGCCTCCTGGGTTCAAGTGATTCTCCTGCCTCAGCCTCCCGAGTAGCTGGGATCACAGGCATATGCCACCACACCCAGCTAATTTTTGTGTTTTGAGTAGAGACGGGGTTTTGCCATGTTGGCCATGGCTGGTCTCAAACTCCTGACGTCAAGTGATCCGCCCGCCTCAGCTTCCCAAAGGGCTGGGATTACAAGTGTGAGCCACCCGGCCCAGAGTCATTACCAGAACTTCCAAGGCAAGCTTGTCCAACCCGCAGCCCAGGGCAGCTTTGAATGTAGCCGGACACAAATTTGTAAACTTTCTTAAAACATAGGCCAGGTGTGGTGGTTCACACCTGTAACACCAGCACTTTGGAAGGCCAAGGCAGGCGGATCACGAGGTCAAGAGATCGAGACCGGCTGGGCGCGGTGGCTCATGCCTGGGCGCGGTGGCTCATGCCTGTAATCCCAGCACTTTGGAAGGCCAAGGCAGGTGGATCACGAGGTCAGGAGTTCGAGACCAGCCTGGCCAATATGGTGAAATCCCGTCTCTAATAAAAATACAAAAATTAGCTGGGCATGGTGGCACGCTTGTAGTCCCAGCTACTCAGGAGGCTGAGGCAGGGGAATCGCTTGAACCCGGGAGGCGTTCACACCACTGCACTCTAGCTTGGAGGACAGAGTGAGACGCTGCCTCAAAAAAAAAAAAAAAAACCCACAAAACCAGTATGAGACTTTTTTCTTTTTGTGACGTTTTTTTAGCTCATCAGCTCTTGTTAGTTACTGTTAGTGTATTTTATGTGTGGCCCAAGACAATTCTTCTTCCAGTGTGGCTTAGATAAGACAAAAGACTGGACACCCCTGTTCTAAGGGCACACACACAGAGGTTTTGTACAAAATGTCTGGTTTTGAATGTCCTAAGAAACACAACCCAGCTCTTTGTTCATCTCTTTTGTGGGGCATGGAGAGGATGCCTTTTTTGATTTTCAACATTTCTCCCTCCTGAGATCTTCCCAGGGACCACAAAATTGGAGACAGGATAGCAGGAATATCAAATGATTTCAAAACATTAGCTGTGTTTGGTGGGCCAACCTATTTGCCTCTCTGTCGGGAATGTAAAAGTTATCTATGGCCAGTCCAGCCTCCTCCTTCTCCATGAAAGGGGTCTCTAAGAAGATCCTTCCGTAGCACCTCCATCCCAGTTATTTGAGATGAACTAAAAAGAGGCTACAGTGTAAATAAGAGTTACCGAAGGAGATGCCAGAGAGAGACTAACCTCCTTGCACAACCAGCCTTTTAAAATTAGGGGTTTAGACACCACGGGCAGTTTCCCTCAATACATTCTCAGTCACGGAAACCAGAGAGGAGGAGGATGAGGGGTGAGCAGGGCGCGGAAGCTGAAACTGGGGGCGAGGCAGGCGCGGCCCACTGAGCACCACCCCATCCCCTGAGCAGCGACTAATAAACACGGCAGCCTCCGGAATCACTTTCGCCCCCTTCCCTGGCAGCTTCCCCACCAGGTTCACGGCTGACTTAGGCACGCGCTGCCCAAAGAGGCAAAAGGCCCCCCTTATGACCACGGTGCTGCCCACCCGGCATTCGGGCAGCCCAGACTCCCACAAAACCCAGAGTTGCGCCCCAATCACCAACCCTTTGCAGCCCCTGCTTCCCTCCCAGCGGTGCCCCATCACCCACCTCTCCCCTAAGGCCATTCAACTCAGTTTCTCCTCGGGGCCCCTCAGCGTTTGCCCCTCCAGCTCCTCCGTGTCCTGACTCTCGCCCTCCTGAGCCTCCCACACCTGGCGCCGCCCTCACCCTACCCGACCCCGGCCCGGCCTGGCCCCGCCGGCCTTACCTGGTGGCGGCTGCCGCTCGCCCTCAGCCATCTTGCTCCGGCCAGGAGCCGGCCCGGATGCCTGCAGTCCCCTCTCGCCTTTCACGCTTGCACCCACCCTTCCTCTCCCCGGCTCCACCAAAGGCTCCGAGCTTCCTGAAGACAAGTGAGCGCCGGCCGGCTATAACCGAAAACCGAGAGTTAAAGTCACCCCAGGGACGACGGCCGCCATATCGGTGCGGGGCGCTCAGGGAGCATGCCCATTAACGGCCGGCGCGCGGGGGACGCGCGGACTCGGGCGACGGCCATGTCAGTGCGGGGCGCGCGGGGCGCATGCGCGCCAACGGCCGCCAAGCGTCAGGCCCGCTAACGGCCGCCGGAACGACGGGCGCCGCGACTGCCATGATTGTGCGGGGCGTCAAGTTTGGGTTGTGCACAGCCATGTTTTTCCGGGGCAGTCTCCTGTCCCCGAGTACCACCTGTCATCTTTGTGGGTGGTAGTGACCCTAATCCAAGGAATATGAGAGGACATTCTCTGGTCAACACGGTTGTGTTTTCCTACCACTCTAAGAGTTACGCTCAAGAACACCAGACGGAGTTGGAGAGGTGCACACCGCTACCTCCAACAGCTTAGAAGACACGCGGGGGCGGGGGAGAGACAGCTGGACGGTGACCTCCTCCTTCCTACTCCACAGGTCTCAACGCCTTGCGGGGCCTCCCAACCAATGACTCGCCCTCGGCCACGCCCCTCTGTCCCAGCACCCGCCGTGGCCCCGCCCCCAGCTCGCAGCCA